TTATATATAATTATATATATAATATATGAAACATTTTTTTCCGAGTAGTGATTCGTAAAACGATTAATCGGGATTTTATCACTATAGTAATTCAAAGAATTAATAAAACTTCTTTTCTTAAGAACCTATTTGTGTTTATCCACGTCAGGCTTTCTGAGCACGGGCGATTCGAAGGCACCGGGTAATGTGGGCCTGAAGGATCAAGTTGTGGCGCTTCGATGGGTCCAGAGGAACATAGCCGCCTTTGGCGGCAATCCCGATAACATTACTATATCCGGCTATAGCGTTGGTGGAATAAGCGTATTGTTGCACATGGTCTCACCAATGTCCAAAGGATTGTTCCATCGAGCAATCATGATGAGCGGCTCGATGATGATAGAACCGTATCCGACCGAACAGCTGCATTTGGCGAAGAAGCAAGCCGAATTATTAGACTGTCCAACCGATACCACTGGCTCTATGTTGATCTGCTTAAATTCCAAACCAGTGGAAAACTTTACAGACACCATACGCAATTTCTTTGTAAGAACCCGGAATAGAATGTTATATAAACAGACATTTTATATATAATTATATATAATTTTATATAAAATATGCCAATTTTTTATATAATTATATATAATTATATATGAAACATTTTTTCCCGGGAAATATTACATATAAGACGAGATTAATAAATAAGATCTAGTAAATAAGATTAGATATATCCAGTAAACACCAATTAGCAATAACATAAAATCAATGTTATTATTTCACACTCAACAATATAAATGTTATATACATTTGTTATATTTTATATTATACTTATATTAAGTGTAAAATTATAACATTTACGTTATGTTACTATTAGTTGGTATTTAGTGAATAATTTTTCTGTCGAATAATATAAATTAAAAAAAACGAAAAAATATCATAGAAAAATAAAAAAAAAGATTCGTAAAGATTTAGTTTATTTTCAAACTAATGATTAGATAAAAAAAAGTATTTTTTAACATACTATGACATTTTAGGAGTGGTATGGTCATCCAATTATGATATGGACACCCGTAGTGGAACCTGAGGTTCACGGCGTGGAAAGATTCCTGCCCGAACAGCCTATTGATCTAATTAGAAAAGGGAAATTCCATAAGGTGCCGTTGATTGCAGGAGTTACTAAAAACGAGTTTGACGGTGTAGTCGCCTGTAAGAATCTTTTGTATATGTATCTTCTTGTAATTTCCATTCAATTTCCAAGTTAAAATTGATGGCTGAAATTAATAAGTATATATATTATTAATATATCATCTTTTTAGATGTTAACGAGCAACATCAACTCGGGAATGATTCGATGGTAAACGATTTGAACAATGACTGGTATAGACTCGCACCGATTAATTTCATGTACGAGCGGGATACACCTCGATCCAAAAACATAAGTACCGAACTACGCCAATTTTACTTTGGCGACCAACCGATCGGTCCAAATACTTACGATGGTCTCGCACATGTACGTAAATTGTTACAAATAAAAAATGAAATAATAACATTTGGAACAATTGATAAATTAATGTACCAGCATAAATAAAATTAGGTAACTCATATATAATTATGTTTTGTGTGTGTATTTCAGATCAATAGCGACAGCATAGTTATATTTCCATTGCATCGTGCTATAAAAGTGATCGCAGAAAACACCGACCAACCTGTCTACTTGTATATGTCTTCTTATGTAGGACGATACAGTTTTGTTATGTGGAACAAAACCACACCAAACGGTATTATTTCTATTTGTATTTTACTGTAAGATTCAAATTGTTCAAATCCAAACAACGCAAAGTCTAAAATTGTAACATAAGACGTTTTTAAGTCGTCTTTTAGATGCAAAAAAACGTCTTATGACCCGATTTTAGACATTTTTGTCTGGGAACTGTTTTATTCTTCACGGTTTGATTTTTATCTAACTTCTACGTAAATTATATGTATAATTTACTAAATTTGTTATTTATTTTATCATTCTAGGAGTGGCACATCATGACGATTTGCAATATCTGTTCTTTATGAAAGTCAAATTCCCATTCCTCCAAGACGATGATCCGGAAATTCCTATAATGGAACTTATGACAAGCATGTGGTCGAACTTCGTTCAAACCGGACAGCCGGTGTCTCCAGCTTTGGCGGAGAATGTTACATGGGATTCATATCTACTAGAAAGAGACAACTACCTAGATATCACTGAAGAACCAAGAATGAAAACAGGACTTTATCCCGACAGAATGCAAAAATGGGATAGTTTGTTTCCTTTAAATCCAAAATAGAAATTAGTTTAATTTCTAAAATCGATTTCACAACATGTAATATATATGCTGACTTGCTTACGTTATTAAGTAAAAGAAACATGCATCAATTCTATTACTCAATAAATGCAAATACATTTTTATTATAGTTTTATATAAAAAAAAGTTTTCTTTTCTAATAAAAATTTATTTCTGAAAAATTCATATTTGCAAATAAAACAATATTTGCAAAATTATTTTTTAATACGAAGGCAAGTCAATAAGTTTTTAGAAAAACATAGTAAAACATATTTTTTTTGATCGATTCATTTTTATTTCTCAACATAGTCTCCTTTCAGCTCGATCCAACGATTCTCCAACTTTTTCAAGCCGTCCAAATAATATGATTTATTCAATCCTTCAAAATAAGCCTCTGTTTCAGCGATGAACTGCTCTCTGGTGATGAATCTCTTTCCTCCGAACCATTTCTTCAGGTTTGGAAACAGGAAATAGTCGCAGGGGGCTAAATCTGGCGAATATACTGGATGGGGAAGCAATTCGTAGCGGAATTCGTTGAATTTGGCTATCGGTGCCGAACACGTGCGAACCCGTGCATTGTCTTGATGGAAGAGCACATTCTTCTTCGCCAAATGGGGACGTTTTTTCTTTAAAATGTTGTTGAAACGGTTCAATAAGGCTACGTAGTAATCACCATTCGTTTGCTTCGACGGAAGGTAATCGATATGAATTATACCGCGTGCATCCCAAAAAACTGTGACCATCACCTTTCCGACTTCACGGTCTTCACCTTCTTCGGAGCTGGTTCACCCGGTGAAGTCCATTGTTTTGACTGTTCCTTCGTCTCGGGTGTGAAGTAATGGATCCATGTTTCGTCCACAGTAATCGACGCAGAAATTCATCTGGATTACGTTGAAACATCTCCAAACATTGTTTTGAAATCGTCACATGGTCGCGCTTATGGTCCACAGTGAGCAAACGCGGTATCCATCTTGTCGATAGCTTTTTCATACCCAATTGTTCGTGCAAAATTGAAATCACTGTGCCATGTGATATGCCTGTGGCCTCAACAAACTCGCGCACTTTTATTCGTCGATCAGTCAAAACAATACTGTGGATTTTATCGATGATTTCTGGCGTAGCAGCCTCAATTGAACATCCCGAAAGAGGTGCATCACATGTGGATGTACGACTACGTTTAAATTCATTCACCCAATTGTATACAGTCGCAAATGCTGATGCAGATATGTGCTATGAACATTATCCAACTCGGCTTTGATTTCTTTCGGCGTTAAATTAAACCTTTCATATGTAGATGTTTGATCACTGCACTGAAACTCGTTTTTTTCCATTTTGCAAAAAATACAAAGGTTGTTCGCTTTAATCGTCTACAGAAATGAAACCATGCGATGAATTCCGCTCAAAATTTGACAGTAATCAGCTGAAAGATGCTACTTGTCAAAAAGTAATGTGACATGACACTGCGAATGCCCTTTGACAGATTTTCTAAGGACTTATAGACTTGCCCTCGTATCTATTGATTTAAAGTTTCGATACTTTAATTAGGCAAATAATACTGGCAAATTATAAAATTATTATTACAATTTTAAATACAAAAGACCGTTATATATAACAAATGACAAATATATATTATATAAAAATTTACAAAAAATACACGCACTCAAATCTTCGGGTCTGACGATTGTAACTTCACCAGAGGCTCGCTTAATTCCCACAACTTTTTGCCTTTAGCAGGATCCTTCACAGCGTTTGATAATCTATATTCCTAAAATATATTTAATAGAGTGCTTAAAAAGAATTTTTTTTTTAGAAAAGAAAAATATTTTTAGCGTCAAATTAAAAGAACTAAAGAAAACTCTTCTTTGAAAGTTCTTTTGGAAAAAGATTAAGCTTCAAAAGATCAAAAATAATTCTTACGGCACAATCCATGAAGTATTTTCCCGAAACTCCTTTAAGTTCATCAGAAACTGCGAGATGAATAGTCGTCTGTGCGCCTTGCTCGGATGTTTTGAAGAAAGCCTTAACTATAAGGTTCAAACCCCAAGATAACGGAGCGGGTACATTTCGCCAGATTCCACTGTTTATCATCCCGGGATGCAAACAGTTTGCCGTTACTCCCGAGCCCTCCAAACGTTGTGCCAACTCCAATGTGAAGACTATATCCGCATACTTCGACACGTAATACAAATACGCCGGTAAGGTCGATATTGGATTGATATTGTCAAGATTTAAACACGCTATTCGATAGAGCTCCGACGCAACCACTATGATACGACTTGGTTTCGATCGTTTCAATAAATCTGCAAATAACAAGATTTTTTCGTAGTGAAATAATTCATAACTATAAAAAAGTTACTTTATCTATTGGATCGTGTATAATAATAATAATAATAATAATGTAGATATCATATAATAGCGCTATTTATTATTTCTAAAGATTTTATGTAAATTATGAAAAAAACTGGACGGCATTATTATACAACTGCAGTAATTTTCTTTTTTATAGTCTACCCGGACAATACACAATGTTACCTTCAAGTCTAGAACGATATCTTTATAATGTCTTTATAATGTCCTTTTTAAAATTTTTTTAGATATGTATGTCCCAAAAAACATCTGTATAATGTTTTCATGACGTCTTTTAGACATACGTGTTATCTGGGCATTTGTTGGATATATACTTAGTAAACACCAATTAGCAGCAATATAATCAACGTTATGTTACTATTAGTTATATATATATACTGTGTAATATACATATAAGTATGTATATTACACACATAATAGGTTTTATTTTTAATAACTTCGAAAATTCAACATTATATAATAGATTTTGTGTAGTAAATTATGTACTTACGATTTAATCTCTTCAGACCCTTATTATACAGTGACTGACAAAAAAAAGAGATCACTGTAATATTATAAGCTTTATTTCAAAAAATTGTGAAGAAATGAAAAGAACTTGAAATAATTTGGCTCAGACAGTTGATTATTAACAAAATTTTAATGTCTATAACAGATTTTTCTTTATCTTGTTTAAATTAATTTATATTTAATTTTTTTGAGAAATTTAATGCTAGGACAAAAAAGAGACCATATTTATTTTTTATTAATAAAATTTGAAGAAAATTAGAAAAAGCAACGAAAATACATTTTAATGCTTAGTATGACTTCCTTTCGCTTTGATTACTGCCTAACAAATAAATTGGTAAATATGTTTATTGCGTTATAATTTTTTACCGATTAGAAGATGCGTCAACAAAAATGGTCCAAAGTAATTGGTAGCCATAGTCTGTTCTAATCCGTCTTCTGTGACTTTTTTCTTGAAAGCTTCCGCAGTTCCGGCATTATGAATCAACACGTCTAATCTGCTTTCTTCTTGATTTATCTGCTGGGCAAACTTTCTGATCGATTGCAACGATGACACATCCAATTTGCGGACTACAATATTGCTATTGTTTGATTCTTTCACAATCTCGTCTGCATATAAAACATATATATGTGTATATCTCAGACACATTATTTATCATAGAATATACTAAAAAAGTGTATTTTCGCCTTATATTATTTAAAATATAAAGCATACATTGTTTTATTGTTAAACATTTTTAATATTTAAAAAACGAGTTTTAGTTACCAAACCTTTCAATTGATTAGCAGTATCCGTGTTTCTGCATGCCATAATGATCCTCGCGCCTCTCTTGGCAAGATCCCTCGCTGTCTCCTTACCAATACCGGAGGTACATCCGGTGATTATTATCGTTTTACTATCCATTCGATTTTTGCTCTTGCAAATGCCCAAAGTGTAGGAAACGTACAGACGAAGACCGACCAGGAACAATATCGCACTACTCGATACAATTGCCGCGGTCCAATAAAGCAGCGTCGTGCAAGAAATGCTAGTCAATATCATGATATCTAAATGAAATATAAAATAAAAAAATATCACATTAAAATTAAACATTAATAATTAGTTAATTACGCATATAACATTATTTGTAAATATTACATTATTTTACTAAAAAATTTTACTACAAAATGTTACATTTTTTACTATAAAAAGAAAAGTAAAAAGAAGGAAATCATTAAAAAAAAGAGAGAAATGTCATAGATACACTTAAAATAGCAAAATTAATAAAAAGCCAATTGAGATAAATTAAAAAACTTATGCTAATTTTGTGATAATTTCTCAAGTAGTGAATCTTATTACCGGTTTACAGAAAGAGAAAGTCTCGAGGTGCGTCTTCTTGAATTTTTTACCCTAACACATTTTCGCACTTACATTTTTCCAGCTTGACTAGGACGAGTCGAAAGTATACCCGGATTTTACGCGACAGCAAAGCGTATAAAAAGGTCGTTGACCATTATATACCGTTTTGCAGCCATTGAATTTATTCTTCAGTGTGAAGAATAAATTTCTTTTTTTAGTGCGCTTCGTTAAAAATCGAATAAGATCAATGAAATAGTTTTATTTGAGATGTACGATATAAAAAATGACTTTTCGTAAAATGATGAATATGATCTTAAGAACAATCAATTATAATTGATTCTGTAATAAGTAAATTTCGAAGTAAAATAGGATGAATTAATTTATGAAATTGTTTCAACTAAAATCATGTAATGCAAGATAATCAGTAAGTATTACATTTTTATAATAATATAATAAAAGAGAATTAAAAAAGAATGACACAGTTCAAGTAAATAAAAATCATGTTATTATGTAACAATAAATTATTGCTATTTATTTGCTTCATTAATTATTTTACACATTTTAGTAACAAAATTTACTGGTTTAACTATAACATTTAACATGTATTATTATTGTATGAATATTTAACATAATTATATTATTAACGAATTAAATTGTTCAATCTTCCTTTAATAATGAAGTTACACTTGCTTATATTTTTAGAATCTGTAATCTCAAGATAGAAATCCTCTTCCTTCTTGAGAAAATCAATTATACTCTCCCCTATTTTTTCATTATGCAACAAAATTACTCAGCTAATGAATCAAACTTGATTTTGTTAAACTTGTTGAATATGATCCACTTATCTTTTTTCTCCTTTTCGAGATTTCCTACCTTCTGTTTCAATTAATCCAATTTGACTATGGCATAAATATAAGACTTGTAGTTTTTAACTGAACTTCTTCCACGATTCTTCTCTCCTTTTCTCTCCACATCGAAGAAAAAAAGAAAAAATAAACCATGCAAGAAATTGAATTAAAAAGAATAGATCTATAGTTTTCCTTCAAATCTAATATAGTTTTCTGCAAACCATATTAAAATCTATATTGACTATATAAATCTCTGATGAAAGTATAAGTATAGATTTTTTCTAAGCATAATTATCACACATTCGTATTACAGCAACTTTGGCTTTGATTACATTAAAGAGAGTTTCTTATTCTTAAATTTTACGATCAAAAATATCTAAAGTATTATATATATCTTTTAATGTTCCTATTGCTATGATATCTCTAAAATAGGTAAAATGATATTTGTTTATGTCTTGTAGAATGAGTTATTAATAAATCTCCTAATGGCTGTAAAGATATACTGTAAGGAAAGATCGAATATATATATTCATATAATCGTACTCACATCCGTTATAGCAGAATTCTCTTTGAAGCTCTCCGGTATTTCGTATGCCGTTACGATCCAAGAGCCGGTATACTACTGACAGTCTACAGACCCCTTTCAGGTATAGGAACGGACAATATCGATATCCCCACCTTTCGCGATGAGAAACGATGATGAGAAAATGGCCTTGATGCATAACTTTCTTGGTACAACTTTGGACGGTCCAATTTCACATGTTCTTCTTTCAATGAATGAACTCGAGATTATTTCAGACTAGAGATTACTAAAAAAAAGGACTAGAAGTACGTACTAAGTAGAAGAACCTAATAAAAACTAATTCTTTTACCCGACATTTTTTAATCAGATATATGTATGTTAAATTTTTTTGGACACACATTTGATTTGACACGCAATATTATTGTTCTCAAATTCATTCATCCAAAAAATTTCCTGTATAAAAAAATAGCTGTAAATAATCAAAATGTAGTATGACTAATTGTAAATGGCGATGCAGGCCGCGTAAATATGATGTTTATAATGATGGTTATAACTCGCATTGCATTGAATTAATATACATTAATATAATATATAATAATCAACTATAACAATCAAATAATACATATATTATATATTTTTTTAGGGGAAGGCATTCACTAAAAAATTGATTACCGCAGCAATCGTTCAAAAGAAATTTTGAAAATATGTACTTTACGTTATATTTAATGCTAAATTAAATAATGTAAAAATAATTAATTAAAAAATGATTTTCTTATTTGAAATAAATTTACAAAAAGTAATTAAATTGTAAAATCTATATGTCCTTATTTGTTGATTATTCCTCATGTAGTAGGAAAAAAATAAATCAAAAAGTTAAACTTTTGTTACACTTATATTTTTCTTTAAAAATAAATTTTTCAATGGCTATTTTTAACACAAAGTATTTTATAATTGTGACAACATATAGCTTTAGGATAAACATACCCGTATGTCACAGATGCTTGCAACCTTAAATATTGCAGAAATATTGCAACAATATGTTGCTGCAAGTTTTGTGCGGTAGAAGAAAAAAGACTTGGAATGAAAAATATTTGAGTGATTAGCTTGTAGTTTCTAGTATTTACTTTACTAACATTTTTTTTCCTTACTAACATTAACTTTACTAACATTTTTTTTCCTTACTAACAATTTTATAATGCAGGAAGGCTTCCTACATTATACACGTTTAGGTCTTCTTTTAGCTGTGCAATTTGTTTATCTCTCTAGCACGTTTGTACTTCGTTGATATTTTCTCTTCATATCTAGATATATCCGTTTTTTGTCCCGCTTTTGCTCGATTTCTACTGATGTCACGCTTATTGTCATTTCAGAATTATTGAAAGACTTTGCTATTATTTTCCTATTTTTCTTCAAGATATATTTTCAAAATATTATTTTGTTGAAGCTGCACGGTCGCAGAAGCTGCGTTTATAAATATATAAAAGGATTCAGGAAAACAATAGCAAATATATAATACTTTCAATGGTTCTGGACAATAAGAGCAACATCAGTGGAAATCGGGAAAAAGCGGGACAGAAAATGCATGTATAATAGATATGAAAAGAAAGCGTCAGTGAAATGCAAATGTACTAGAAAGATAATACGAACTGCAGTTACATAGAAAACAAAACAAATTATACCTTTATACAATATTTTTTCAGACAGTTTCTTACTAGCCATAAAATTTACAAGAAATCGTAGATATTTACGAATAATCGTACATCTTACGATATATACGAATAAAATTAGAATACTAGTCATAAGTTCTTATATATATACAATTTTTACGAGAACACGTTACAATCTTCTGCTTAAAATTTATACATAAATTGAAAATTAAATTTAAGAATAAATTACTAATTCATCAAATCGTTTGAAGAAGTCAAAACAGAATGATTTAATACGTAATAAAAAATTACGATACAACACTCCTATCCCATTAAAAAGCACACATTTTTTTCAGGAGCATGGTTTATTTATTTAAAATAGAGTTATCTAAAGTAGAGTTGTTTGGTTAGCCGACAAATTAAATTATGTATTAGAATAAAATTCGATTCTTGATTTCTTTTCTAAATGGCTTAATTTAAATGAAGGCTTATGACATGATAGAGAGGGAGAGTGTAATATAATAAATAATATAATAAATTTTATTAATTTTGTATTTCTGATTTTACAGCTACGTTTGGAATTTCGCGCTACTACGGATTTCTAATTTGCTTTGTCTTCGTGAAAATTGTGCGATCGCGAACGTAATTTAACGCGTGCACCATCGACCAATTGCGATTTTGCTGATTGATCCATTTCGACGGCGTTTTGTAGGATCTGTGCCGCTAAACTAGAAATGCGCAGATCCTTGAGCTTCATCGAACTTTCTAGATATGCGATCTTGTGATTCAAAGTGCTTATCACTTCCTCCTTTTCACGCAGTTCCTGCTTTAACTCCGCATAAATTGTACGTTGCACATTTGCATCTTCAATCTTCTCCGTCGTGACGTTCGCGAGCGCATTGCCTTTAAACGCGTTTGAAAATTTATTCATAATTGATCAATCATAAATTGTCTCACTTATATATCAAATATCTCACGCTTGTGAAAACGAAGAAGTGTGCAATAGTTAAAGATATTCCATATACGAAAGAAGCAAAAAATCCAACTGTAGACGATGAAAATTCCTCGTTTGAGACACGTAAATTTCGATGATTTAATTTCACTAGTTTCGTTATCAGTATTTGGACTTTCTACTTGCAATTTGAGATGGCTGTTTGACGAGCTATCTCCAATCTTCTCTTCTATGGAAAGTACGATAAAATTAAAACCAAACCCATACAATGTAGAAACTTACAACAATATTGCTGCAACGTTGCAAGTTACTACAATATTACTGGAATTTTGTTGTAATATTGCTAGAATGATCTGTGCTGTATGCGAAACAAGACAATATATAATTAGTCAAATAAGTATCGTTAAGTAAATGTGATTATTTAATATATGATGTCTGCGCTTCGTTGCCTTCTATATTGCTTTCTACGTTTTTGAGTTTCGGTTTATGCATCTCAACGCCATCCCTCAAGACTTTCACTCTCAGCTTCGTTAAGAGCTTCTCAACTGCGCCTTGTGACCCGTTCGCCAGATGATGGATAGTGTCGCTGCTCAATTTCATATCAAGTTTCGCGAGCACCTTTCGATTTAGCATCTTCCAATTTTCCTTTTTTGTGTTTATGCTATTCGCCGGAACATAATTGTGAATCTCCACGTGTCGAGGATAGTATAATTTTAGAACCTCCGCCGTAAGAACTATCAAGAGTAATGACTTATAACTATAATAACTTAATTATGTTCATTTCTATTGATGTAGATTAAATATAATCTACTCGGTTTAATCTATTCTTTAGCTTTTTCTAATTCTTAGAATCAGAAAAAGCTAAGAAGTAAGTTATTAAATCAAAATTCGATCAAACCCCTAAATGATAAAATTATTAAATTTCTGTCATTTAATGTAGAAAAAATCACAAATAATTATATAGTTAGAAATTTTGTTTTAAGTCTAGTAGTTCTGCTTGATTGCAGTTTAAATTAATCAAGGTTTAATTGCAGTTGCTTTTAAATTTATCTTTAAAGACGGGAAAATCGTTCTTGACATTAAAATCGGCGAATTTACCGGCATCCGAGAAATCCCTCGTTAAGTTTCTCGCGGGTCTCGAAAATGGGATGCCATCGATCCATTCGATGAGCTCCTTATTGTCGATCTGCACCGTGTCACCAATCATTTTTCCTTCTACTTATTAACAATCCGAGTCAATTCATATTTGGATCAGTTTATTCATCACGTTTCGGTGTATCGAGTGGACAATTAACGAGGAAACTTTAAATCATGCTGTCATCTGGTTTCCCTTGTGAGGCAGAGCAGAATCGCTCGTTGAAATCATGCGATATATCGACAACTCAATGTGCAATGTTCTTTTATTTTGAATCAATCACGAAGATAGTTGATAAAATAAAGTATCGAGAAATATCTTCAAGATGGGTTACAATTAAATGTAGGAAAAGAAAGAAAATCTGAAGGAATATATAATAGATATGTATTTTGAGAGGAGATAAATGCCTATGGAAAAAAACAAGAACAAAAAGAAAAAAAATAGAATAAAATGAAAGAAGTACACATGGTAAATTTATAAGTTTAAATAAAAACATGAAATCGGTAATTATACATACATGTAAATATAATATTTATTAAGTTATACTTATAATATTATCTTCATTTACTAGTGTTAAAAAATAAGAAAAATGATAATACTTTTATTTTCTTTTTTATACACGGAAAAAAAAGATTGACTGCTGCAGCAAATTAGATGGTTAAATATGACATAGCATTTTTAATTGGTTGCAGCAACTAATTTTTGATTGCGTTAGCCTATCCGCAATGTCAATATAGGATTTCGATAGGCTAACACAAT